ATACTTCAAACATTTGCGCAGTATCTCATGTCTAGACGCTGATTTGTATTTTCTATTGACATCGCAAAATAAATTTCTAGACTGAACTGGAAATAAAAAAAAAATGTAGTAAATAACCCCTTCACTTTCATAAATATTACTGTCTGTAGCATATTTTCTCACCTGTTACTTCACCAACCCGGGATTTTCTCTTCTTTTCTTTCTCATTTTTGGAATTCAGCAAATTTGCGTATGTAATTTCCACAATGATTTGACTGGTCTAATTCGAAAGGAAGCTATTAAGGTAACCCCTGAATTAATTGTCATTGTACTTGATAAGGGGTGGGGCAATGGAGTCCGAAAAACAATAACTGTAATCATGAAATTGTTTTTATTGAAACAAATAATGAATACAATTTATCCCTGCAAACAACTAAAAATCAAACAACATGTCACTGCTTCGAGGTATCTTCTTCCAAACAAATCCTCTTGTTATCAGTCAGCAAAAAGCATATCAGGAGAAAAGTCCAAACTTGTATCTTCTTCCTGATCAGTACTCGCGGTAGAAGGAATGCTTCCTTTATGCTTTTCGACTGAATAGCTCTCATTCAACCCTTCAGTGTCCAGTGAAAGTATCCCTACGTTTTCCGGTTCGATCAAAGCACCAGCGTTATCCACTACTTTACATGGTTCAATGATGATATTTGCCGAGTCTGTTTGAGCATTGCCGAATAGATCAAACGTTTCCGGAAAAAGTGGTATATCTTCAGCTGCCGCATTGGTCATATCCTTATTCAGTTGCAATTCCTGAACGTCGCCTAATTTTTCATCTTCGCCTATCACTTGATATTGCAGACCATCCTTCTGAAGATTCTGGAGAGCTTCGTCAGTAACAGTGACGAAACTTTCATCACTGGTCTTGAACAGTATCTTCACACTAGAGTTGGCTTCATTTCCCAATAGATCCTTTATCTTATCAGCAGTAAGTTCTTCAGAGCTACTGGGTATGATCGACTGAATGACATTGTTCGACACATTTGGGTCAGTGGGCAAAAACACTTGACCAGCACCAAATCCTACTGGAGGATGCGAGATGAAATTCTCAACTGTGGTTTCTGAGCGAGTTTCGTCAATGATGAAAGTATTAGCATGTGGAGCAGATACGATCTCTTTTGTCAGGTTAGCAATAGCCGATCTACTAGCCTCGGCTTCTTTAACACATGTCCGGTGTTCAGCTTCTATACGGAGCTTTCTATTGTCTTTGTTGGGAATGTACAGATTGCTGGACGAAACTGGCGCAGGGTATTTGGGCTTTTTGGAGAGAAACTGGGGCTTGGGAATCACTATCATGTCGGCTGAAAAAGAAAAAGCAAACGTAAAAGGCGACATTTGAAGGACGATAATCGACTTATGAGAAAGAATGGCTTTTTGTACCTGGTAATACAAAGTCGCTTTTTAATTTAGAAAATTCCCAGCTGCCAAAATAATAAAACAACGTATCAATATAATTGATAAAACAATAAAACCGAAGTCATCATTGAACGCGAATACTGCATTATATAGTGCAAGGGACCAGGATTTATGTCAGGGGTCACAGGATTTATGTTCAGGAGAATTTTTGTCTCCGGAGGGGAAGGGGTGTGTCTTATTCACTGAGCCATTCTGGGGTTTTGAAGTACAACACCCTTATTATTTTGGTACAGTTTTCTAAATTATGGAACCGTTACTGGTTTACTCGTATTGAAAATTTGCGACCTGAAAACCACGAATATTAAAAAAAAACGGTGGATGTTATCAGAATCAAACAATTCTTGAAACAACCACAGGTAGTATTACAATGATGTAGATGGAACAGTACGTTATAATTTCCAAAAATACTATTTTCTAGGCATTATTATACAAAGGTGTAAAAAATTAGCAATATATTGCGTTTATGGCTCTCTGGCGAGCTAAATGAGTTGATAGTTTTAGTTGGATCATCACTTATGTTCTAACACAGCGTAGCTCAAAACTGACAAGTTTTTAAACGACCAAAATTTCCTATCGAATGACACGCATGATATCGCCATTTTTTGAGTTACGCGATGTTAAAACTTAAGCGGCGATATATATATATACACATATATAAGAAAAACATATTTCCAACGCCGTTTCCTTTAGGGTCCTATTTTTCCGGAATCAAGAGGTGTTTCGCAAATCGAGAGGATCAAATATAATAGTTTCAGAATAGTCCCAAGAGTCACACATTAAATGCTTGCCCCATATTTGGGAAACACCATGTTAATGATAAAACTAAGACAATATTATCATACTGAGTAAAAAATAAAAACAGTCAAAAGTATTAAGTAATGCATAAGCTTTTGAGCTGATAGATGAAGAGTGCGAGATTTGATCACTCTTACGGTTAGATAACTTGATGCATACTTTTTATCATCTCCTTTCATTCAGATGAGACTGCTTTTCTCTGATTTTGTCCATCAAAATGTGTTATTATCAAGTTTGCTCACAGGGTCAAAGGCGCGCGCGAAAAGGATTTTTCTTATATTCCCGTCCGAATGTCTAAATTTTCGATTAACTACCTTATTCACAGAACACATAACGCACTAACGGACATACAGTACTACCAAGCCGAAACATGCAGAAAAACTCTATTTTATTCATATTTGCGTCGAGCAGAACGTATAGGCAACCAGACTTACGCACACTCTTATTTCCACGCAAGCATCGTTGTGCTTACTAATTGATCAGGGTTACCAGGTGTGGTGATTTTTCACCAAAATATCCCTCATTTTGGTCTATCTTTCCACTGCATGTTGCATCCGAATTCGGACTAGGCCGAAGGAGCCAGTCAAGGATTTTTTGTCTCCTAATTTTCATAATCTGTAGTATGAAAAAAAGTTTTTGGTTGCAGTCAAAAAACTCTTTGTTGTCGCCGATACTTACGCTTCCTCAGAATGTTTCCAATTTTTTATAAATAGCTCCAAGCAACTATGTACTCATCTTAAAAACGTCCATCGGGGATACATTTTTCAAGAAATGTCGCTCTTGAGTCATTACTATTGAGTGATAAAAAATAAGCAATATTGTGGTAGTCTTTCCCTTGCGACATAAATGAGACACGTGAAATAAAAAAAAACAGACTCCAGTGTCTTAATTTGCGAGTCTGTATTTTCGTAGGAGATCCCTATATGAATTTTTTCATAAGACTTGTGTCACTTTTTGCGTTATTCTAATTGCATCCGAGAAATAAACTATTCATGTACGTTGTATAAGACAAAATAAAATTGGAATGTCTTAATGAAATAAATTACCAGGTAAGGTGCAGCCAAGTGTCAGATTTTCCAATGCTTTCATTTGTAATGTCCTGGCTGCCGCAACTAAATATTTGAGATGTTCATCTGATACAATAGTCGATCCACAGTACATGAACTCCACTAAGGATTTCACCACAGAAAACTCACATCCTGTGATCACCACATGGTCGACAGATGAATTTTTATCCAGTTCTTCCTATAAAAATACATGAGTCATGATCATGTGTATTTGTGGGAAATATCTACTCACCTTAAACAAGGCACTGTTGGCAGCCAGAACCACTTTATGAACGTGTAGAACCCTTTTTTCGCAGCAAATGGCTACATCCACGAAGTTCTGCTGCTCCATAAACGAGCACAGTGCAATAGTAGTCTGCTGAGGATGTTGTTTAGACTGTAGACAGTATTTGCTTTGCCAATTTTCAGCCTTCTCCATTTTTTGCCTAAAGATGTCCAATTAAAACGTCTATTCGCAGCTACAAATAAAAAAATTGTCTCACTCCTAATAGAATTTGAAGTTGTACAGGTACAATCGACAGTATAAATGCTACAAAATTGCGCTTTTGTGTAAGTAGCTGTTTTTTCTTGTAGCTACCCAAAATCAAATTGAATTGACATTCCACATCGGATTTGCCAACGTCCATACTAAGAATGGCGAAAGTCCCTATATAACACTAGTAAATTATAGTTTAAGAATTGACCACAAGATGTCGCCTTAAATAAAAGCTTACACAGAAATACAAAATAAAACTGAAACAACAAAGGCAATCATCTACTAGAAATGTCTTTGCCTTTCAGCCTTTGAGGCCCTTATGTATAATAATCATTGCAATTCATATTTAGTATGGAACCGTCAGTAAATTCTACCGCGCCATCTAGCAACGGCAAGTACTGACTAGGATCTCACTAATTCTTGCTACAGAAAACTGTTTAAACTAATAATGCTACAAACAGAATTAAAGGTTGATTCTCACTATACATTCCGTTCCCATTCCATATCAGTTTCGTAAACGTTCAGTACAATTTGATTGTATACACAATATACCTTACGGATAATGTGCATACACACGCAATAGCCTGCTTTAAGCGAAGGCGAATATTTAATTTCAATAATTTACGGAACGGTTACGGAATGGAAACGGAATGTATAGTGAGAATCAACCTTAAGGAATCTCGTTTTGCCACTGAAATACAGGGTGAAAACGAAAAATTTCACGTTTTAGGGCACTGTCAGCTCGCACCCTCTATAAGATAGAAAAAAGGTGAAAACTGCTTAGATAGATACTTCTGCATATTCTATGGCGTGCTCGAAAAAATCAGAGGCGTCGTTCAAGAGCTATGACCCTAACTTAGTTTTTTTTTAATGGAACACCCTGTATTTGCACTTTGAATATGAACATTAATATGAGTATGATATAAAATGTGGGCACCTTGTATTTATGCCCTCCATTAATTGTTATATTGTACAAAACAGTGGCACAGGTTCCTGAAACTGTAAGGTTCTATCTTTCAAAATATCCAAGATACCGTGCAATTATATACAAGCAAACTGGAACACAGTGTACATATTTGAATTTTTTTTTCTTTAAAACAATTTATTTTACAAAATATTTGATCAGACAACGTTAACAATAAAAATATGCTAATACCTAATTGAGGCAAAAATTATTTTGTAATAAAGGCTAAAATCATTTTTTTGTTTTTCAGGCCATCAGATACTAAATTAATGAAAAAATTTTTGGTAATTAAGAAAAAAGATGATGCAGTTCGGCCATTATCTCCACAACCAGGTCCAAGCAAACCGTCTGCAGTTCAAGAAGAATCAGAGGAAACGAGACCGAGTACAACAAATGAATTACACTCCACTTCTGATTCTGATAATTCAGTATCCAGTAAGATCCAGAAAATCAACCAACCTCAAAAGAAAAAATATATTCCCAAAAATACAAGGCTGAGTGGGAGCAGCATGAAAATTTTAAGAACTGGGTGCACCAAGTTCCTGTGGAAGCTATTTTTTTCACTGCAAGGTTTGCAATTATGATTATTTATGCGGCATAGGAGCTTTAAAAAAAGTTATTCAAAAAAGCATATAAAAAATTTAACTATTATGGTTAAGCAGCCAACTTGGTCAAAAATAGTATATGAAATTTCTTCTGATAATACAGTAAAACAAAATGAAATTAAAATTGCAGCTTTTATTGCAGAGCATAATATCGCAATAAATGTGTCAGATCATCTTAGCGAACTTATAAAATCCATTTGTTTGTCTGGAATAGAGAGTAGCCAAGCGAAAAATGTCTGTAGGCCGAACTAAATGTACGGCAATCATAAACAATGTAATAGGGAAAATAAGTTTTGAAAATCTTATTAGTGACTTAAATTGCCATAAATTTTCATTATTAGTTGACGAATCGACAGATTTCACGTCCGAAACACATTTAGCAATTGTTGTCCGGTACATTAAAAATTTTAATATAGAGGATCATTTTATCGACCTTAGACGCTTCAGCCCAAAATTTATACAACGTCATTATAAGTTTTTTTTTCCTGCCTTATTTATATTGGGATTTTAAAATAAATTGCACATTAGCAGTGCCACGTTTTCTCTTCTACAAGAAGGCGTAATCATCTATATGACTGTTTGTCTCTTGTCCTCCAGCATCAACTTAAGTGCATTTTTGCACAGATGAATATAGTTTTTAATTTTGATTAAAAAAATGCATAAGACGTCATACATTGACGTTGTCTAACCTTGGTGACTTCATAAAAGGAAAAAAAATTCTTAGGTAGGCCTTGAAATTATCAGATGTTTGTTTCGCTCACCAGATTTAATATTTTTTCCTGACTTTATTTGAGATGGGATTTCAAAATAAATTGCATATTGTCATTGTTACTTATTCTCGTCTGCAAGATGACGTAGTCAAATTTTCAATTCGACATTTCTTCTTTCGACTTCAATCATCAAATTTGTTTTTTCATACGGACACTATATGGGAATTTTGTACATTTAAATGGACTTTTCAGCTCTAAATTCATTGATGTATTTCGTTAGTTGACCATAAATTTGTTGTTGGATGAAAGTTAAAAGGAAATAAAAACATATGTCTTCGATTCGTATTTGTGCAATCGTACCCAGAAGGTGAAAACACGTAAGGGATTTTCTTCGGCAAAGAGTGTTGCATGTGGCGTACCTCAAGGCTCTGTATTGGGACCTTTACTCTATTTAGTTTATACTTTTGATCTACATACTTGCCTTCAGCACTGTAAAATTCAAACGTATGCAGATGACACGCAGCTAACTCTGTCTTTTGATTCTTTGGACATGCATGAGGCATCATATAAATTGAACTTAGATCTAGTTAACATTGAAGAGTACTGCAAAAGACATTGGGTGATATGCATAAAGGCGAGTGGGTTCTCAGAAGTAGCTACTCCATATTGTAGCGAGTAACTACTCCTGTTAGGGAGAGCATACTCGGTTTTGATATGCATAAAATGTTTGTCGAGAAACGGAGAGGCTACTCAAGTGCTAATGAAATACTTGAGTAGGCACTCTGGTTTTCGAGTTCCGACTTGTATTTTGTTGTCTCGTCGAATTGGCAATTTCTCTATTGCGAGCAGTTACTACTGTATACCGGTAAACGTTTGTGTCGGTGGTGTTTAGGTCGATTATACCTATTCTGAAGACCATTCATCTGAAAATTAAACAGTATTTGTTAATATAATTGAACAGTATCCTGTTTTGTTGGAAAAATCTAACATCACGGAAATCAAAAATAAACGACGTAAGGCGGCTGAAGAAATAAAAGAAAAGGTAGAAGCCGAATTAGGAGTTAAATATAACGAAGGGCAGATTTGTAAGAAGATTCAAAACATAAAAACCAGATTAAAAGCGAAGACAGACAGATATCAAACCGGAAACAAACCAATAAAATTGAAAGGATGGGAACAAGAACTGTTCAATTTCCTACAAGGAGAACCAAATCCTAGTATTGCTCGATTGCAATGTTAGTTGTATTTTTTTGTTTTTCCATACAGTAGGTATAAGATGTGATTGAGTATAATATATATACACATGTCAATAAATATAAATAGCATATATTTTAAATTGTAGGTGCTGTTGTGGCAGGTTGCCCACAAAAAAGCATTGATTACACTCGAACAGCCGGTGCTGAAGAAGAAACAATCACCGAAGAAGCATCTGGAAGTTCAGGACCAGTACTGAAACCTACCACAATGAAAGCCGGACCCAGTAAGGAGCCTTCTAAAAAAAAAAGGAAAACGGATTAGTGGAAACTGATCAAGCACGAGATTTATCAATAACAGAGCTCCAACGTCTCGTTTTACTTGAACAAATACAAGTGTTTCGGCTAGCTAAGGAACTGCTACTTCACAAGAAAAATATTAATGAATCTGATCCAAATTTATCAACTTTAAATGAAAGTGCTGAAACTGGCAATCCAATTTTCATGAGCCTATTTCCAGGACAGAACTGACAAAAGTACTTCATGTTTCATAAATGTTATTTTTTATTAATTTTAAGAACTTTCTCTTAAGTTGCCATTTTGAAAGTGTTATTAATTTTGTTATGAGTAATTAAACATCGTTCTTCAACGTATATCTACATAATTTGTAAATTTGGATCATGCTAGATACTTAATTAGACCCGACAGCCATGAATAATTCTTGATATTGCATCTCTTCTAAATTGACCTCTCTGACGTATCACTCCATCTGCATTGTCAGCACTATGTTGATTATGGATTTCTTCTTGTTCGCCATCTCCTGGTATATCAACAGCAAAATCTTCATCATTAAGGTGCTTATGCAAGATAAAACAACTCATGACAAGGGAGGGCACTTTTTCTGTATCGACGCGTATTTTGTTATGTGGAATGGGAAATCGCTGTTTTAGTTGCCCGAAACATCTCTCTATTATAACTGGCTCTCTCGTAAACAGCCGATTGTATGATCTTTGTTCTGCTGTTTCTGCAATCCTAAAAGGAGTCATGAACCAAGGAGCTATAACATACCCAGAGTCTCCCAACAAAACAGCACTAGCCCTATTCCATTTCATATATCAGAATTCTTCCATATCCGAGAGTCGTGTACAGATCCTGGCCAAGAAACATCCACACTTGTGAACTCTCTGTTTGAATTGCACGTTGCTTGTACATTTATACTAGCAAAGTTCTTTCTGTTCACATATTCGTCTGCATGAATAAACGGGTTCAGAATAGGTATATGGGTGCAGTCGATAGCACCAATAGCTGAAGGAAAATTGAACTTTTCTTGCCACTCATTTTTAGCATTAAGCAGATCTTCACATGTGGTTGGGAATCTAATCCAAATGTTCGACTTCTGCACAATGCGTGTTATAACGTTGGAAACGGTTCGGGATGCCGTAGATTGATGGACACCAATAGCTTCTCCTATGCCAATTTGAAATCCTGGATCAGCCACATATCGTAAAAAAACCTCATTCTTTCTATATTGCTCAAAGCACCGTCCCTATATTCTTCTGCCGGTCCAAGAAAATGGTTACTTATCCACTCAACATTAACTTTACTAAACCGATATAAGGCCCAATAGTCTACTTCCTTTAATTCCCTACGATCTTTAAACACCTTCGTAGGCTGATAAGTAGGCATAAATTCGGCCATTTCGTCCACTTCTTATAAAGCTGAGTCTACTACTAAGGTATCTCGCATTTCTTGAAGTATGCACTCAGCGGTCAGAGTGGACGCTCACTTTTATGCATATAAAAATTGAAGTCGGCACTCAAGGAGCGAGTACAGTCTCACGGAAAGAGTAGAAACTTATGAGTGTGAGCTTCTACTTACATTTTTATGCATATTAAATGGAGTGGCTACTTTAAAAATGCGAGTCAAAAGTAGCCACTCGCCTTTATGCATATCACCCATTGTCTGAAGATCAGTGCTTCAAAATGTTCCACCATGCTATTTGGCCCAAAACAGTTAGTACAACGGTTAGATGGCACAATTGTTCCTAGTCTTAACGAAACCCATATTCCTATAGTAGACCATGCGAAGTATTTAGGGATCACCATGGATTCAGATTTGAGGTTTAAGCAACATGTTACGCATTTATCTCGCTTAACATACATGCGTTTGAAGATATTATACACCAATCGCCATATTCTGAATTTCAAGACTCGCAAAAAACTGGCTGAGACTCTGGTTCTATCGTTAATAAATTATTCAATTGCTGTTTACTTTCCTTGTCTTGATTACGTGACTAGATATCGAGTACAAAAAATTCAAAATAGCTGCTGTAGGTTCGTTTGTGGTCTGCGAAAGTTTAGCCATGTGTCTAAGAAGATCAATGGGCTTAGATGGTTGAGGGTTGACCAGCTTTTCACATATAATTTACTAATTTTAGTACAACGAATAAAAATCAATAGGCTACCTACTTATCTACTAAAAAGGCTGGTACCACGTGGGGTTCTCAATTACAGGAATCTCAGACATAACTCTGACTTCAATATACCTAGTCATAGGAGCAACATTTTCCATCGTAGCTTCACCTAAAATGCTGTCAAGGTGTATAATAGTCTTAATGGCAATTACAAAAAGAAGGGAATACTTACATTCAAGAGTGCCATTAAGAACCATCTTCTGGGGTCTGCTAGCCAAGCCGGCTGATATACAGTGAAAGCTCTCCTTGCGGACAGCTCCTATAAGCGGACATCTCTTTTAACCGGACAAAGTTCCTGGAACCGAATTTCAGCCATCAATTTTCAATGTTAAATGCATTCTGATAAACGGACGCTCTTATAAACGGACGCGGACACTAGATTTTCCTGTATGTGATCAAAAAATCTCCCATAAGCGGACGCGAAACTCTAATACCCGGACGATTTTTTAGTTCCGCTTATTGCAATGCACATATCTACATACATAAAATTCGGTAATTCCCCGATTTATATTAGGTGATTCCCCATTTACGCATTTCGTTGGGTAGCCTGTATGTAATCTTGTGGCTTGTCTTCAGTTCAGGCAAATTCGTAGTTGATTGAGT